CTATACAACATTCTAAATGTTGTATTAATGTTAATTTTGTGCCCCGTTTTTGAATACACAAAGGGGGTTTAAGTTTTCATATGGTTAAGGCTTCAATAAACCTTAGTATACACCCTTTTACACTTTTATACAACACCACAAAAGCCGAGTTTAGATCAATCCTATGGCCTGTTTCGAATATATGTTTAGCAATAGAGGATGATGAATATTTATCCTCTGCTCTTATTGGCTCACTTGATTGTATTTGTTTCTGCTTTGTTAGTATATTATTGTTAAAATATTCAATCTTAATGAATCACATCTCTATAATTTCTACAGATTATGAGTCTATGATAATAAAAAAAATCTATCTTGAAATATATACAATTTACAGATTGAAATCATGAGTCAGTTGAAGCTAGACCACCATGGAAAACCTGGAAGCACTGGACGGCCGTTTCGTCCTGGTATGGGACTCCTCCGTCCAGTGCTTCCAGGTTTTCAATGGTGGTCTAGCTTCAACTGACTCATGATTTCAACCTGTGAAATTTCTAAAATTCTCCACAAAACCCATTCTGATAATAATATACAATTTAACTTGATTATATGAAAGTGGTATTTTCACAATGGATACTGATAACCATTATATTTCATTTACTGAATTTGCATATAACATACTTGTTGATGAATAATGAATAATAAATTATACAATATACTCAGTAATATAATTTAAATTGAATTAGGTTCTAAGAGGGTTATTCGTTGTCATGTGAAATATAAACACATAAAAATTTATATTGTTTAATAAAAATTATTTTAACAAATTACATTCATATTGAGTTATGATAGTGGCAATTTTAAATATTTAAATTAAAAATAAACCCAAATTCATAGACACATGATTTACACTTTATTATTGCATAGTTCACATGAATGATAAATATTAATATAATAAATTTAACTAGATCAGATTTCATGTTACTATCCTGTTTCATTTTACCATTTTTTTTAAAAAAATCATTGGTAAAACATTGAATTCATTCTAATAAAAATGATTTCCTATTTTCAATTGACTTATTATAGTAAATATATAAATTGTTTAACTAATGATTCACATACTTCGTCTATGGTCAATAAATTTATAAACCGTTTAAAATCTTAAATAAGAACTTTCGTCTAAATTTGAACGAATAGTTTCACAATATTTAGGCGCCGAGTTAATGTCAGTCATTAAATAGGAAAAATATATATTTGTAAAATCTCACCGAATGAATTTTAAGTAAATCCAACGTTTCGCCTGGCAATCTGGTCCAAGCTTTGAAGTCGATGTTCATGTATAAAATTTTCTTTTCTACTGCAGTGGTTTGTGCTCTTGGCATTTTCGGTTTCATATTCTTATCAATGAATATAGAAGGATATCCGTTTTTGATAAGTATCTCTTTTAAAAAACTCAATTCTTCCTCTACGACCTCAGGGCTACAGATTCTTCGTATTCTTGTGGCGAGAGTGATTATTAAGTTTCTTTTTCGGCTGATAGGAACCCAACTGTGGAAATTTGATAGCTGGCCATTCAAAGGCGACAGAGCCGCACATATCTTAAAGAGGAGAATTTCAGATTCCTTAAAAAGAACATTTTTCGCAGCAACATTGCGAATATTATTCTCCAGCCGATCACTGTTCGCCAATAATCTGAAAGATAAATTATCGCATCTGACCAATTCAATGTGCATTTACCAATTTACCTGCTCTTGTGGAGCTAGGTATATAGGTCGTTCGATGCGTACTTTATCCAAAAGAATTCAAGAACATTGTCCGGCGTGGCTAAGAAGAGGAGGCAGCGGTTCAATAAGAAGTTCTATAATCGAACACCTTGTGAACACAGGTCACTCAATCAAGACAGACTCTGCGTTCAAAGTCATCTACAAGGTAAGTAGAAACCTTCCTAAGACAATTAGACTACATCTCCTTTGCATTGCCGAGGCAATAGCCATACATTTTGAAAAACCAGAATTATGTGTACAAAAGAGACTGGTACAACCTCTTCTTTTACCGTGGTCTTAATGTATTAAAATTTTTTTTCTCTTTCTCATTACTCTTGTTCTTTTACAGCCACCTGCTTCACCTTCCATCTTCCCTTCAAATCTTGTACCCCCAACCGGTTTGTTTTTATTTCAACGATCATTCCGATTACATTTCATCTCTGTTTCAACATTTTATGTTATTTTATCATGCTGCGCTACTCTTACCCGATGACTATCTAAGCCATTATCTATCAAACCTTCCTTGTTTCTAAAAAAAATTTTTCTAATACCTTTGTTTATTTAACCTCACTGTCACCATGTATATCATAAGTTTATTATCAGTATTATTATCACCCTGTAAAAATAAGTATATATATTTGCGATTGTACAGCTTTGAAAATGAATTCGCCGAAAAGAGAACTCTTCGCTGAACTAATCTTTCTTTCTTATTTAATGTCATAATGGGTGTATTCCGTTTATTAGTATATTTCACATGTCCATGCTATCCATGATGAAATGAGATACTCATTCCAATATTAGAACAGAATATTTATTTATTCTTAACTTTACTCCATATCTTGAACAAAAGAAAAAATTTCTATCATACGAACACATTCGCAACTTTCAATGTATTCTGTAATTCAAATTGTCTTTTCGTCTAGTCATCAAGTGTTATTTGTAGGCCGTACTTTTGATGTACTGAAACCCTGCTTTTCGTTTGATGAATATGACGAATTCGATACCACGTTCCACCTCATGCTACTTACAAGCAATCTTGTGAGTAGCGTCTTACAATAAAGCCGTAAGACATTTATCTTGACTAAAGCCTTTTGAAAAATTTCTTACCATATGACTATAGGCTGTATACAACCAGCCTGAATCAGCTATAGTTATTTACTGAAATTGTAAACTTAATAATTTACATCTTCTGAAAATAATAATTACAGAATTCACGCCAGTTTACAGGCATGTTCAATTTGATATAAATAGTAACATTAGATGTACAGAACAAACATGTGATAGAAGAAAGTCTTAAGTATACTAGTTCAGTAATTGTTTAGGTAGTACATGTAATACAGCAATCCAATGCATCAGCCGGGAATTTTTAATTTTTCTTAAATGGACAGCCTGTTGATTTATGAACGGTGTAATTAGGGTCATTTCGTGTGCTAGATCGAATTAATGATAATTATCTACAACTAGGGAAATTAAAAGAAAAACAGGGAGCACGGAACAACAAAGGAGTAATTACCAAAATATGTCAATCAGGTCTACCAAAATGCGTGTGTCATGTGACACAGTGATATACTGTTGATGTTATTCAAATTAGTTAAACTTTCTAGGGACGGGGTTACCATAAAGTGACAGCAAGTAGGTGGTTTTACTTAGGGAATTCAATAATAAAAAATGGCTAAACATTTAAAGTTCCTATAATACTATTTGTGGAATGAGATACACTTACAGGTGCTAGACCATTCAATGCATTTTCAGAGGAGCAGTATGCATCGATGCAGCGAACAAATAATGGGAGTGATCTTATAGTACGGATAGATTGTGGTAGGTTATTCCAGAGTCTAGAAAATTTACAGGTGAAGTAATTCATATAAAGAGATGGTTTGGAATGAGTTTGTTTCACTAGTCCCAAGGAATTACGGATGTCATAATGAGAAGTTTCTGCATGTTGAATTGCGTGATTGGATGTAAACGATAGTTTATGAAGTAGTTTGAAGAAAAAGGTAGGATTTGATTTGAGTCTCCTCCTCCATAAAGGGTTTAGCCCAAGTTTATTACATCTAGAACTATAAGTTAAGGTACAATCAGCTCCAAGAACACGAAGTGTAAATCGTCTCTGTACTGATTCTAGCCTTAATTTATCCTTTATGAGCGCTGTGCTAAGAATAAACGTGCAATATTCTAGAAGAGGTCAAGCACAAACTTTGTACATTAGAATACGTGACTCATTGTTGTAAAGGTTTCGAGTTATGTAACCTATTAGGCGTTGAGACTTAGAGGTCTGTTTTAATATCTGTTCTGTAAACGATAAGTCTTGAGAGTATCTAAGTCCTAAGTTTACTACTGTATATAACCTAGATAACACTTCTCCATTTATGGTAATGTCTAGGTTGAGTGATATATCTCCGAAACATATCCATCCACATTTAGCCGTATTAAGCTCCAGTTGCCATTTTAAGCACCACTGTGCTACCTTGTTAAGCTCCATGCTGATGCAATTTTGCATATTTTTCAACTCATGTGGAGAAAATGAATATACTACTTTAAAATCATCTGCATATAGAAGGGGCTTACTCACACAAAAACTTACAAATATCATTAATAAACACTAAAAAGAGCAAAATGCTTAAGACACTACCTTGTATTACACCACTTCTAACAGGGACAGCGTTAGACAATGAAGAGTTAATTTTAACTATTTGATGTCGGTTGCTGAGAAAGGAATCAAACCGAGCTATCAAAGGATTTTTAACCCCATAAGATGGATGTATTTTTAGTAGATTGGGTATGAACTTTAAAATTAAAAAAACGTTAGCTCAGTCGAATTAAAATTCCATTGTTTACATTACTGACTGATCTTAACTAAACAACCGTTGAAGACCTAGAAGCTCTGGACAACTATTCTGCCCTTGTATGAGAATACAGAAGAATAAGTATATAAGATCCGACAGGAAATCGAACCCAGGACCTTCAAATCTAACTGTCAGTGCTTAACCACTGAATCAACAAACCGATACCTGTCATCTACTGCATCAAATAATTAGTCACCATTGAAACTGGAAGATGGCTGCTCATTATTGCGGGTTGTTTAAAATCATGCATATTAACCACTGGATGTTGTCTATGTGACCTATGAATTAAACATTCATCTCAAAACTTTAAGATCCAAGGTTAGATTGTCACCAGGTTCTCAAACACACACTTTTGCGTTGTTCCATACTAAGAAAAAGCAGTTGTACACTGATTTCAGGTTTTCAATGGTTATTTAATTAAGATCAGTTCGTAACGTAAACTATAAAAGTCAAAAGTCTTCACAAAGCCACTATAAAAAATTACTATTATTATTAAAACAATTGTTTTAACTTTATTTTGATTATTTTTACAAATAAATTAGTGATCCAATTTATCGTGTGAACTATCTGTTACAGTTATTCACGTATTATACTCATGTTTTTGTGTGTTTTTGCTTATTGTTCATAGTAATCTTTACAAATAACGTTCACTGTATTCACTTACCGGTTGGACAAAGTCATATGCATTTGATTTGCATTAAATTATTAAATATGATTTGAATTTGATTATGAAATAAAATAAATTGACAAAATAAAATTCACTTATTTGTTTTAGTACACTGAACTCTGTTATTTCAGTACCTTATATCAGTATGCTAGATCAGAAGATGATATTATGTAAACCCTGTCATCGTTGGTTGATATACATTAACTAGGTAGTAATTTTTATTCTGTTAACAACTTATGGATCTAAATTCGAAACAACATAACTTAAAGATAAACGTTAAACGAGTTAGTCGCTGAAAATCAGGGAAAACTAGACAGCTATTTTACTCCAATGTAATACTCCTTTGCAATGTCCACACACAACGGAACAAAAGACCCAGTCCAGAACTTGATGGTTTGACAATGTTCCAGTTATTTTTAGACCAGTGAATTGGAGTTCAGTGAAGCACTATTCCAACTTTGACCAGTCGGTCTACTTCTAAGGATGAATACAGTTTTTTTCCTGATAACTATAATGATGATTAATATTGACCACAACTACATTCCTTGAAACAGTTCAATCCCTCAGAATAAGCTGTCACATACGGGATGTATTATTTATCGCAATTTTGTTGGAAGGACAAGAGTGTACTTAGTTCAGACCGATCGGTCTCAAGGTATAATTGAATAAATTTCTAAAAGAGACTACACATTCACGCGATTATTGTAATTTGAACAGCTACTAAGACTACCTACCAAAAACGTTCAGGTAAAACTCGATAGCAAATTTTACCATCAATCAGATAATGTAGCCACAGGTAGACAAACAGGATCAGTTGCTATATATATATATATATATATATATATATATATATATATATATATATATATATATATATATACTCTGTAAAAGCAAGTACGTCGAAAGAATAGAAAGTTGGTCATTGACGTTCCTTAATGACCATGCTCCACCGGTTAGACACAGAACATGAGATAAATAAAATGTGCCCGTTTAAAATAATCATCAAACTGTATATCTGTTATGGTGAGATTCACAAAAATGATAGCAGTCACGAAGTTAAAATGACTTTTAAAAAGAGTTAGTGACTAACTCCTAACTACCTTAGTAACAAATAAAATTAAAAACATAGTTATGAAAACAGTTCAATGGTATGTAATAGAAATTTGGGACTTACCATCCTTTTCTTCGTAAGAAATGTCATTTCATGTTAGGTAATAATATTCGAGAATTGTTACCAATTATTAGTCCACAAATTTCGACTTAATATCTTCATCATGATTTCTCTGTGTAAATAATTTACCGTTTATCAATAGCAGTCTAATTCCGAGAAAATAAGATCATTTTCATATTTTGAACTAAGGCGTTATACTTGGTTGAAAAGAAAGTAACATAATAAATTTTGAGTTTATCATATTTCCCAAATATTGTTATGCTTGTTTTGTTTTAAGTTATGACTTCGATTTCTTAAACAATCAACACAAACAATGGCTAGTTCTAGTTAAATTTAAAACATAAATCTTAGCCGGCAACAAATTGATTTAGCTGTCTAACCTAATTATCAATTGACAGGGTTCGTAGAAAATTATTGAATGTTATTGAGATCACAAACCGAATTAAGTTAGTTAATCAATCTAAACATGAAAGAACTGGACAGCATTCAGGATTCCTGAACAATGTTCATTCACGACCTCACCTTCATAGATAAAAACGAAACCGCTATCCAGTGCTTCCTGGTTCTCAATAGTTGTCTAATTTTGGTCGGTTCGTGATTTTAGGAAACTATTTTTATGTTGACTGAAATGAGTGGAATTCATAGAGTTCAATCTGTACTCATAAATAAAATGAATTATTACATGAAGTTTTATACTAACTAGAAACTAAGCCACATAGAAGACTTAATGTTAAAGACCCAATTTCAAAGTGAAAGGTAGTATAGTAACTTTTCTAGCAAATAATGTAAACATAATTTATTAGATGATAGTACTTTAAAAGTGATAGGATAAGTAAAATTATTGTATTTCAATATTTGAGTGTAACGAATTAAGTTGGATAAGATTTAATTTAACTTCCAAATTATATTAAACACCTTTGAATAAACTATTTCTGTACATACAGATTTATTTATAACTGACATCTGCACATTTCTGTGGATTAGGTTTCC